TTAGAACTAACGCTAGCTCTAGAACTAGGATCACTCGAGTTTAGTCGTCTTTTTAGACGTACGGCTAAACCCAAATGATTCTAGTTCTAGTGACAGTGCTAATTAGAACTATCTAGCATTGTAATTAGAACTAACACTAGACCTAGAACAAGAATCATTTGGGTTTAGCCGTACGTTTAAAAAGACGACTATACTCGAGTGATCCTAGTTCTAGATCTTGCGTTAGTTCTAATGAGAATGTTAAGTAGCACTAATTAACACTGTCACTAGAAGTAACACTAGACGACCTAGAACAAGAATCATTTGGGTTTAGCCGTCTTAAGAGACGTGCGGCTAAATCCAAATGATTCTTGTTCTAGGTCTAGTGTTAATTCTAGTGACAGTGCTAATTAACGCTACCTAGCATTCTCATTAGAACTAACGCTAGACCTAGAACTAGAATCATTCGAGTTTAGCCGTCTCTTGAATGGTATGGCTAAATCCGAATGTTTCTAGATCTAGTGTTAGTTCTAGTGACAGTGCTAACTAGCGCTATCTAGCACTGTCATTAAAACTAACACTAGACAGACCTAGAACTAGAATCATTCGAGTTTAGCCGTCTTAAGAGACGTACGGCTAAATCCAAATGATTCTTATTCTAGGTCTAGTGTTAGTTCTAGTGACAGTACTAACTAGAGCTATCTAGCACTCTCATTATAACTAACACTAGACCTAGAACAAGAATTATTTGGGTTTAGCCGTCTTAAGACACGTACGGCTAAATCCAAATGATTCTTGTTCTAGGTTTAGTGTTAGTTCTAGTGACAGTACTAACTAGAGCTATCTAGCACTGTCATTAAAACTAATACTAGACAAACCTAGAACTAGAATCATTCGGGTTTAGCCGTCTTAAGAGATGTACGGCTAAATCCAAATGATTCTTGTTCTAGGTCTAATGTTAGTTCTAGGGACAATACTAACTAGAGCTATCCAGCACTGTCATTAGAACTATCACTAGACCTAGAACAAGAATCATTTGGGTTTAGCCGTCTTAAGAGACGTTCGGCTAAATCCAAATGATTCTTCTTCTAGGTCGTCTAGTGTTACTTCTAGTAACGGTGCTAATTAGTGCTACTTAACATTCTCATTAGAACTAACGCTAGACCTAGAACTAAGATCACTCGAGTTTAGCCGTCTTTTTAGACGTACGGCTAAACTCAAATGATTCTAATTCTAGTGACAGTGCTAATTAGAACTAACACTAGACCTAGAACAAGAATCATTTGGGTTTAGCCGTCTTAAAAGACGTGCGGCTAAATCCGAATGATTCTTGTTCTAGGTCTAGTGTTAGTTCTAGTGACAGTGCTAATTAACGCTACCTAGCATTCTCATTAGAACTAACGCTAGACCTAGAACTAGAATCATTTGAGTTTAGTCGTCTTTTGAAAGGTATGGCTAAATTCGAATGGTTCTAGATCTAGTGTTAATTCTGGTGACAATGCTAACTAGCGCTATCTAGCACTGTTATTAGAACTAATACTAGACAGATCTAGAACTAGAATCATTCGGGTTTAGCCGTCTTAGGAGACGTACGGCTAAACCTGAATGTTTCCAGTTCTAAATCTAGTGTTGATTCTAATGATAGTGAAAGTATTAATTCAAAGTATTGTTCCAACTATTAGAACTAACACTAACACTATCACTAGAACCAACATTAAACCTAGAACTAGAAACATTTGGGTTTAACCGTTTTTTTGAAACGTACGGTTAAGCCCGAATGCTTCTAGTTCTAGATCTAGTGTTAGTTCAATAAAAATATACAACAATTTTTTGCTGTACAATTTATATTTATTGCTATAGGCAACGAGGTATATGATGTAAGTTAAATTAAATTGATCAGAAATTCTGTTCAATTGGGTATTTGCAAAAATTTAATGGCGACTGGTTTTCAAAAAAATTTAGTATAACAAAGGTATTGTCAAAAATAATGAGAAATCTACCGCAATTCAATATTAATTTGATTAAAGATACTGCTCAACCCGAAATTTGCAAAAATTCGGTGAAAACAGCTTTTTTAATCACCTAGGAAATGGCAGAATATTTTTTGTTAATATTTGCAATTTTAAACATAACTAAGAATCTGCTATAGCTCAAATTAAACTGTTTAAGGATTCTGCTCAATCCGAAATTTGAAAGAAAACATGAAAAACAGTATTTTTGCAATATTTGCTGTTATAGACATGGTGAGATATTTGCTGCAGTTCCAATTAAATAGATTAAAGATTTTGCTCAACCCAAAATTTGCAAAAACTCATTGAAAACTAGTTTTGTACATTCTGGATTAGCAGTACGTCTTTAGAGTTGATAGACAATTCTGCTTATATTGAAACTTGCAAAAATTGAAGGAAAGGTGGTTTTATAAAAAACCAGAAATTGGCAAAAGTAGTTATACAAAAGGTATATACACTAGGTATATGATCAGAAATTCTATTAAACTCGGTATTAGTAATTTAATGACAATTGGTTTTCAAATAATGTATTAGAAGTGCTTGGAATAAAATGCCGTTGAAACTAAATTCTGTTCAACCCACAATTTGCAAAAATTGAAGATAATCCGGATTTCCAAAGAAACAGGAAATAACAAAAAAAATTTCTTTGCATATATGCATCAGAAGTCTCCTAAAATCAAAATTTGCAAGATTTTCAAAAAAACTTGGTTTCCAGAAAAGCTTAAGATGAGCAAAACAATTTTTGCTCCACGTTTACTATTTATAAGTGATGAGGAATACGATGTAGTGCAAACAAAATTGTTCAGAAATCCCGGCCAATCACGAAAATGCAAAAATTTTATGGAAATTAGTTTTCCAAACAAATAGAAAATGGCCAAAGAATTTTTTTTCATATTTGATTTATCAGAGATAATGAAAAATCTGCCGCAATTCAATATTAAATTGATTAAAGATTATGCTCAACCCAAAATTTGCAAAAATTAGTGGAGAACTGATTTTCTAATCAAGTAAGAAATGGTAAAACATTTTTTGTTCATCATAAAAACTATTATTGTAGAAGCAGTTTTTATTGTCAACTAAGACTTTAAAATTTCCTCTCTAATACATGATAAACCAAACTTAATTTCCCTTATCATCCCCTTCCTCCTTCCCCTCGTCCCAACCACCTCCCTCATCCATCCTCTGCCTCCACCCCTCCGGTTTCTTTCCTCCTCTCTCAACTCACCACATCCAAAATTGTTCAGCAATTCTGTCCAATTAAAAAAATTCACTGGGAACTGGTTTTTCAAACATATGGAAAGTGCCCAAAGAATTTTTTTTTATGCTTCAAGTATCAGAGGTAACAAGAAATCTACCGCAATTCAAAATTAAATTGATTAGAGATTCTGCTCAACCCAAAATTTACAAAAATTAGTGGAGAACTGATTTTCTAATCAAGTAAGAAATGGCAAAATATTTTTTGTTAATATTTACTGTTTTGAACATGATGAGGAATCTGCTGTAGCTTAAAATAACCTGTTTAATGATTCTGCTCAAGCTCAAATTAATTGAATCAGAAGTTCTGCTCAAATCAAAATTTGCCAGATTTTCAGAAAATCCTGGTTTCCAGAAAAGTTGAAGATAACCAAAACAAACTATTATTCTACATAAATTATCTATTTATAAAAATATTCTTCAACCAGAAATCTTAAAAAATTCAATGGAAATTGATTTAAAACTTAATTGATTTATTTTTCATGTTTGATGTGTCACAGATAATCTGCCGCAATTCAAAATTAAAGTGATTAATGATTCTACTCAACCCGAAATTTGCAAAAACTGGTGGAGAACTGGTTTTCTAATCGAATAGGAAATGGCAGAATTTTTTTTTAATATTTGCTGTTTTAAAGATGATGAGGAATCTGCTATAGCTCAAATTAAACTGATTAAAGATTCTGCTCAATCCGAAATTTGCAAAAAACATGAAAAACTAGTATTGTAATGAAACAAGAAATTGCAGAAGTATTTTTTACAATATTTGCTATTTTAGATATGGTGAGATATTTGCTAGAGTTCAAATTAAATAGATTAAAGATTTTGCTCAACCCAAAATTTGCAAAAACTTATGAAAAACCAACCCAAATGTTTCTAGTTCTAGGTCTAGTCATTACAACTAAAACTAGACAGACCTAGAACAAGAATCATTTGCTAAGACTATCTAGCACAAGAATCTTAAGAGACGTACGGCTAAAAAAATTCTTTGAGCACTTTCCATTTGTTTGGAAATCCAATTTCCTTTGAATTTTTGCGTTTCTTTGATTGGATACAATTTCTGAATAATTTTGTTTGCACCCTTCGTATTCATTATCACTTATAAGTAGTAAATATGGAATGAAAATTGTTTAGACAGTCTTCTACGTTTCTGGAAACCAGGATTTTCTGAAGTTTTTGCATATTTCCATATAAGCAGAACTTCTGATCACTTCAGTTCGAACTACATCGCGCTACATTGAATTTTTTCAGATTTCTGGTTGAAGAACTAAAACTAGAAACATTTGGGTTTAGCCGTATATCTCATAAGATGGCCAAACCAGAATGTTTCTAGTTCTAGGTCTAGATTAATGTTGGTTGCAGTGCTAATGCTAGTTTTAATAACTAGAACTAACACTTTCACTAGTGTTATAGCTAATTCTAGTTCTAGTGTTAGTTCACTGAAGAATATACAATAATCATAGTGCCTAATAACAAATAAAATTAGAACTAGATCTAGAACTAGAAAGTTCTTAAAGATGTCATAATTCAATAACTAATTTTAAAATAATATTGTAATATTTTTCCTATTTTTTTTTTATACATACATTATTAATTTTCTTTACAAAGAAATTTTTTTATATATTCATGAAACATGCAATTTTTTATACCCTTTTTGAATCATAAATAATTAAATGTAGAAAAACATTTTTTGTTGAAAGAGTTTCCGGTTACAATAAAAAAAATATATGTTTAGTATAAATACGTTGAAAAAGAGCCGCAGTATAATGTAAATTGTGGTTGTTAAACTTCAAAATGAAAATTTATTTTATTTTTGCAATCGTTGTTTGTATCTTGTTTGCTCTTATGGTAAATAATATTAATTTTTATCAACATTTATTATTGATCACTATTTTTTATGTGTATTTAGTCTTCAGGGCTAGGCATGGAGCAAACCGCTTCCAAATTAGGTAACGTTTTAAACGTTCCTAAAGGAGTTCGTCCAAGTGACGAAAGAAAAGGAAATTGCAACGGAAATCGTACATCAACTAGTAAGTTTTGCAATAATTATTTAAAAATGGTTTTATATTGAATTATTTTAGCCACTCAAGCTAGCACGGGGTAAAAAAATGTTGAAAGAAACGGCTTGATTTATGACGACGAATATTATCTTTTTTGTGTAGAATATGTAGAATTTAATAAAATCGTTTAAACCAAAATGTCATTTAAAATAACCTATTAGACTAGCGCCATCTATGAAATTTAAGTTAATTTAATAATACTATTAATTTAAAAAAATTCATTTCAACATTTTAATTAATTACAAATATAATCCAAATTAATATTTTTAATTATTTTATTATAAAAATTAATTATTTGTTTTAAATAATTCCAATTATAATTTATTTTAATGTATAGATTCCTGTAATTGTTAGATTATGAAACATGTGTTGCTAAGCTCATGATAAAGCGAATTGTCACTTTAAATTATTAATTGTGTACAAAACGAAGCAAATTAAGAAAAGCTAAATATAAAAATTTTCTCTTTTGTGGGAATTTAGCGTTATAAATACGAGGTAAGAGTACATTTTAAGTTGGCAATTCTGAGTAAAAACCTAAATTTTAAATGTCATTGTCAAAAAGTGTTATTTGAAGGAAATGAAATTTTTTTGGTTATGTCATAAGGTCACACGACGACGCGTGACGTAGAAGAACCAATCCAGAGGATGAAAAACTTTAAAGCATGTGGTATGGACAACATATCTAGCGAAATTTTTAAAAATGGAGGAGCAGAAGTCGCAAAAGAGCTGCACAAGATAATCGAAGACATTTGGGAAAGTGAGATCATTCCTGATACATGGGAAACAGGTAGCATCATCCCAATATACAAAAAAGGAGACAAACTAACTCGAATGTAATAGTTATAGGGGAATTCCTTTGCTGAATATTGCTTATAAGGTATTCTTAAATATCCTACTGTCAAAACCAACACATTACGCGGAAGAAATTATTGGACAATACCAGTGTGGTTTTAGAAAGGCAAGGATAGACCAGATTTTTGTTATCAGGCAACATTTGAAAAATGTTACGAGCACACCACGCCCTGGTTATGGATTTTGATTTTTCAAGGAAACGTATCTTTTCATCTCTCAAGATTGACAAGAGCTATGCTACAGAATACTAAGGCAAGAGTTTCTGCTTATGGACGTTTTGGCAGAGGGTTCATATTGAGTAGAGGGGTAAGGCAAGGTCACGTCATTTCAGCCACATTTTTCAAGCGGCACTAACAAGATAGTGGCACAACTATCTACAAGTCCAAGATGATCCTTGCTTATGCGGATGACATCGTCATTATTTCTAGGAATGAAAACCAACTCAGGGACTCTTACAATGAGCTGCAAAAGGAGCCAAACAGGTGGGACTAGAAGTAAACATAGAAAAAACAAAATACCTAAACCACCAAGGTCACCAAAGGAACGAGAACGCAGTAGACACGACATCGAAAAATTCGAATATCTGGGAGCCGAACTGAAGAATACGAACCAAATTGAGTCCGATATACAAACGAAAATACTTGCTGCTAATAGAGTCTACTACGCTAAGAAAGAGTTGATCAGGTCTAGAATCATCTCCAGAACAACTAAAATCAGGATATACAAAACTCTGGTTGCCACATATGGATCAGAAACATAGAGCTTAACAGCTAGCGATACAAAGAAGCGTCTTGTTTTTAAAGAAGAATATTCGGACCAATATGTGAGCGAGGGGAATGGCGAACACAGAGATTGAAGGTATCCTAAAGAGAGAAAACGCTTCATAAAGATGGATTGGACATGTCATGAGATTCTCTGATAGCTCTTCTCTAAAATATCAACATTAAAATCACTCACGAGTGCGATTTTAGTGTCAGGCTTAATATAAGCAGACATTTCTCTTGAGCTGTCCTCTAGGACATTTATAAATAGGTTAAAATTTCCTGATACATTTCCTGATCCTGGAGACCTGTAGACACAAATTACTATTATATTTAACAAAGGCAAGTGGCAACCCAATTATTACAACATTTCACAATGTTTTCACATTGTTCTGACTTGTTCTCACTTTTTGATTTTGTACTTTTAAACTGGTTTTTATTTTATATAGAATTTAAGTCTAACCAGTTTCGGCAGAGACTCTACAAATAGATCTTATCCATTTTACAAACGAGTTTCTTAATATTTCTTTTTGTTTTGCTAAAAAAGATCACATATCAAAGTCGAAATCAGATTATTAGTTACTAATTTACAAAATTAAAGTTTAAAAAGTTGTAAAATGAAATTAAGGACGAAGTGTTACAAGTTTACAGGTTAAAATTTAAGAACGCTCTTTTTTAACAAAAGAAATATTAAGAAACTTGGGAAAAATTCAAGAATCATCATGTGGCTTAAAAATCGACGAATTTTTTTAATCAATGTGAAATAACCCAAAAAACTTCAGTTATAAAACTTCTATTATATGATAACTAACTTCTGGTTTAAAATGTCAACCTCAATTTTGACATATTTGGAATCTTTATTAAAAATCCTTTAAAATGAGTACAAACACGACATATTTATCTTCATTATTAATGAAGTTATGGTCAACTTCCGGTTAGGAATGTCAACGTCAATTTTGACATATTTGTAATCGTCGTGAAAAATCCTTTAAAATGAGTCCAAACATGATACGTTTAATTCCAATATTACTCGAAATATAAGCAACTTCCGGTTTGAAATGTCAATGTCATTTTGACATATTCTTAATTTTTATAAAATGTCTTAATATTTGTCACAAAAACAAAAATATAATAAAAAAAAA